AGCACAGCCTTCTTACAGGGCAGCCTGCACGAGGAGATATGGCTGTGCCGCCCTCCTGGCTTCACTGGGTCGTTCCCTCCTGGTACCCAGTGGAGCCTCCGGCGGCCGGTCTACGGTCTCCGCCAGGCGCCACGTGAGTGGCACGACACACTGAGGACGACACTTGCAGCTCTTGGGTTTGCTCCGTCGACTGCTGACCCGTCGCTGTTTTTGCGCACCGACACTTCTCTGCCGCCGTTCTACGTTCTCGTGTACGTCGACGACTTGGTCTTTGCCACTGCTGACACTGAGGCTCTCGCCCTGGTGAAGTCGGAGCTGCAGAAGAGACACACGTGCACAGACCTGGGTGAACTGCGCAGCTACCTTGGCTTGCAGATCACCCGGGAAAGAGCACGCCGCACCATCACACTGACTCAGTCACACATGGTGCACCAGGTCCTTCAGCGCTTCGGTTTCACCTGGTCCTCAGCACAGGCCACTCCTCTGGCTACAGGTCACTCGCTCTCAGCTCCACCTTCGGACGAGTCCGTAGAGCCGAGTGGTCCTTACCCAGAGTTAGTGGGCTGCCTCATGTACCTGATGACTTGCACTCGTCCTGACCTTGCGTACCCTCTTGGCCTTCTGGCTCGCTACGTGGCTCCTGGTCGGCACCGAAAGGTGCACATGGATGCTGCCAAGAGGGTACTACGCTACTTGTGCAGTACATCGGGCATGGGGCTCGTGCTTGGAGGACGGGGTGACGTTGTCCTCACAGGTCACTCGGACGCCTCTTGGGTTGACGACCAGGCTACGCAGCGGTCGTCACAGGGTTACACCTTCAGCCTTGGTTCTGGTTCAGTTTCGTGGCGTTCTACACGTTCGTCTTCAGTTCTCGGCTCCAGTTGTGAGGCAGAGATCTACGCCACAGCCATGGCTGCACAGGAGCTGCGCTGGCTCACCTACCTGCTGACCGACTTGGGAGAGAGGCCTCGTCCAGTTCTGTACGTCGACAACAAGGCCGCCATTGCCTTGTGTCAGGAGCACAGACTGGAGCACAGAACAAAGCACATCGCTCTCCGTTACTTTCTTGCTCGAGAGCTGCAGCAGCGTGGCCAGCTTCGTCTTACCTACGTGGCCACTCGGGCCAACACTGCTGATATATTCACCAAGGCGCTTCCGCCTGGTGATCATCAGCGTTTCTGCACTTTGTTAGGCCTTGTGCCCACTCTTCCTCACTTGCTGTAGGCTTTGTTTGTACCATGATTTATATGTATTCCTGCATACTTGTTCTTGTAGGTAGATATCACTGTACTGTTGCTGTTACATATATATTTCTGCATGTGAACTGGCCTTGTGGCCTTCTTGTTTGTGCTCAGACTGCGTGGTGACGTTGTGATCCACCCTGAGCTTGCTTTGCACTTCCTGACTGGTCTTGTGACCCTCTGTTTTCCCCCACTTTGCCTATGGGGGTGTGTCAAACATATGCATATATGTGTTATAGTTTGGGTAGGCTTAGTGGGGTACTTACTGTGGGGTACAACCCCTTGGGTTTTCACTTTGTACCAACCCTCTCGATAGTCAAAACTACCTTTTCCCGTAAGATTCTAACAGAACGGAGGGTCTGGGGGTGGCGGGTATGGGGGTGATAGGTGGTATGTTTCCCTTCCCCTCCTCCTCCTTTCGTTCCCACTGCTGCGGCTGCCGCTGGGGGGAGGGTGTGAGGGTGTGGGGGAGCCTGGGGAGTGGCATTGGGGTGGCGGGTGTGAGACCAATCAGCCCCCGTCCCTCTGAGGTGGGGGGGGAGGAGAGTAAAGGGGTGGCAGGAGTGCCTGCCCCTTTGCCGTTGTACCTGCTTTGTTACCCTGCCTACTGTTGTTGTTTTCTCTGTTCGTGGTGTTCCCATCCAGGATGTGTCGCTGCACAGACTCCTGCTGCAGGCAGTTATGGGGGAGTGTTAGAATATATCTGTAACTGCCTGTAGCTGTAGTTAGTGTAGTTATTATAAACTTGTTGGTGGTGCACCTTCTTTGCATGCTTTGTTTGCTATTTGTACCTCGCTCCATAGTGAACACACAACTTCTTGGCACAAACTCTCTCGACTCCCTTTGGCCTAGGCTACTAAGCCTAGGCCTTACTCTTACTATTCAACAGAGTGCAAGGCTCCAGAGCATTTATCGCAGACTCGACGTCAAAGCAGACAATCTCAAGACACGTAAGCAGCGCTTTAAGATGCAGGAGCTGCAGGGGAGCGTGAATCTCACTTAGTCATCATGAGGACTACAAAGGAGCAGGGGATTTACGGGTGGAGGTGTGGTTCACGAAACCACAGGGGAGGTTGTTGGAGTGGTTTTCGTGAACCACACCAACGACGGCAGGCGGACTAACGACGGCTGAAAATCTGGACCGACGGCGACTTCATGGCGGTGGCGTGTGGAAGAAGCAATACGAAGGAGCTAAGAAGTATCTAAGATTACTATGCGTGTGTGCTAAGTTATGAGCTACGGGGAATGAATACGAGGAAGAAATGGGAATGAAGGAGAAGTGACGGGAAGGTTTGATTGGTTGGGAAGTTGAGTGTTCAACAAGGAACCCGAGGCATGTTCAACAAGTTTATGAAATTCGGACTTGAGGAATGTTCGGTGAATTCGGTTCGGTTGCGTGTGCGACTCGGGGTGAAACGAGGCGCACGCGGTTACTTGGGAAACAAGTGAAGTTACGAATCGCATTTTGTGTCTTACCTGACTATAAACCACCTGTTTGTACTCATTCTGGAAATATAACATGACAACATTGAGATTCTGAAAATTGCTGGTGTGTATTGACAACTTCAAGCAGAGCTGCGCATATCGTTGGATTCGGGAGATCGTGGAGAACACGATAGGCGATAGCAAGTAGACTATTGCCGACTAAGGTGTTTACGATCCTAAGAAGGGCAAGGAAGAGAGAGAGAAACATCGGGATCAACAGAGGGAAATATGGGGGTTGTGCAGCAGCGCGAGCACGTTTTTGTTGAATAATGGCGTCTGGCATGAAGAGAAAACAAGAGGAAGGGAATGAGGATGAGAAATAAAGGATTTAGGGGATTGTGAATGCATGAGAGGGAAAGACGAAGGTAATCAGGAAGAAAGCGAGGAAGAGAGCGAGGAAGCGAGTTGGCGGCGGGAAATACACAGGAAAGGAGAAAGTGGAACAGCTCAACACTCAGGTGAGGGGAAATACTTCATGCCAATCACTAGATTTATGGCACGCGAAACCGAAAGAAATAGTTACGCGGGAAGGAAAATAACGCAAAAAACGATGTACCTTGCAGGATGTGTACTAAAGGACCTCCGGGAGCTCGCATTCGCTCGATCCGCGATTCGATCCAGAACCTGCTGAAAGCGGCAAACCGTCTTTGAAATCCATCCTCAAGGCGGCGGCGGAGCGTACGAGCGCACGCGGGAGGCGCAAAAGCCGCCGCTTCCGCCGATTCTTCCGCCTTGCAATGAAGCCGTGATCGTTGCTTCGATACATTTCCAGCGATCGTGACTGCTGCAGCAAACCCATGCGCGACCCATTTCGAGAGAACAGTGATTGCACCGTCACGCGAGCATTGGAAAATGGCTGCTGACTGGCGTCAGCGCGACTCGGAGGTGACGGGAACGAGCAGGGAAGGAAAGCTAGGTGTTGTGCCTCGCATGCAGGCGCGAGTGATGCCAGATTTGGGAGAGGTTGATTGATGAAAATGAAGTGGTGCAGTTCGGCTGAGTGAGTGCAACGCGCAATTCGCAACCAGCGGGCGAGGAAAGGGAGCTGGTCCCTGAGGAGAATCAGTGGTGCAGTTCGGCTGAGTGAGTGCAACGCGCCAAAACAGTTCTTGCTAGTTATATCAGCGTTTAGAATTCTTAACACCAACACAACTCAACCTCACACGTCACACAGCAGCAATCGTGCACAATCCATTCTAATCAAGGGGAACAGAGAACATGGTGTTTTTTTTTGCTGATTTTGTTTTCGCAGCATATTTACAACCCTTCTGATTTTCAGGAAAATATATCGGTGTACAAATATGCATGAGATGATATTGATGGTTGAGAATGCAGAAAGTTTAGGACGAAGAAATCCCTAGAGAGTACGAATTCGCCACTCTGACCTCGATCTCATCCCTGGAGTTCTCAGTTTCAGAGCTTCGCTACCGAACCTGTCTTCCTTCGATCGCGGGAGGCACATCGCCACCACCCTTAGGCACTTTCGGGCATGGGAGTACCCCAGAGGTTCGTCAGCGCTTCGAGTGCGGTCGGGCAGGCGAAATCTATTGTTTCATGCCGTCGACTTTATAGGGATGGATCTCCGCTAACGCGCAGCGGAAAACTTTCTGTCGGGGGCAGGAAACACGATAGAATCGGGGGTAGCGATAGACAGATTCTTTCGCGTCGCTTCCCCGCAAGGACCCTGCGCGAGAGTCGGTTCTCCAGCAAATTTTGTTCCCATTTTCGCGGTAGCAAAGATCGCGCGGGACAGCATGCCAGAGCACGGTTCCGATTTTCCGGAGGTGCTCAGGCAGCAACCGAGAACAGTTCCTCCTTTTTTTCGACACTCCCTCCTGTGAGTGTCCCCTCCACACAGCCTCCATCCCTCTCTCTCCTTTTGCTCGTCTCATTCACAAATCCAATGCACAGAAGTTTCATTTTCAGAGTTAAGAATCCAGCTTCTTCTTGTTCTGTTGATTGAGCCTTTTTCTAGCAAGTTCAGACCTCTCATAACGTTAATTCGTTCTTAATATCGTTCTCTCGGAACCTCTTTGCTCTTAGCGTTTAACTTTGTTTTTACTCTCGCACACAAACTCGGTTAGCTTGATGGCTTGTTCTTCTGACTTTCCGTCCTTTGCTGAGCTTGTGGCCTTCTGGGAGAAATGCGGTATTCTGATCCGGATGAAGGGATATGCTCCGATCCGTGAGTCCGCGGAATTTCCTACCTTTGCAGAAGTTTTGAACCTCTTTAAAAAACGGGCAGCTTTGCAGCAGGCGCAACGTCATGCTTGGATGCAGGCGCAACATGATGCTTACATGGCCTCCTCAGCTCGCTCTCCGGCTGCTGAGGAGGAGGACGCGTGGATCGTTTCTTCTGAGGACCAGGAAGTGCCACAAGCAGAAGCAGAGGAGATTGCAGAGGAGATTGCAGAGGAGATTTACTCGCTGTTTATGGCTGCAGAGGGCGATGGCTCTGAGAACGATTCCGATCCAAGCAGCAGCTGCAGCAATGTCGCTGAGATGGTCGGTTCTGAGGCATCCAGCACGACCAGTGGTTTCTCTGGCAGCAGCTGCAGCGGCCAGAGCTCCAACGAGGAGCCTTCCACTGCCATTGCTGTCAACATCCTCTGCCTTGGTGACTGCAAGCTCAACCGCTATAACATTTACAACAAGCAGTACAGTGACAGTGCGTTGCTACTAGACCTGGTGCTTCTGTTGATTTCATTCACAGTGAGTAAGAACGTGGTTGCTGCTGTGCATCTCGCATCACGGATGGGTCTGCTAGGTGCAGGCCAGAGCTTGGTCAGGGGAACGCCTGCAGCCAGTTGGAGAATGCTCCCTACACGGCGTCCCAGACCTGGCAGCAAACGAGTAGCAGGGGTGCAGCCAGCTGTGGTGGACAAAACGATGGTGACTGTTTCTCTTGGAGCTCTCCAGGCTCTCAAGGGATGTTCAGCAGCACTTGGGATGCGGAAGCAGGGTGGGGTTGGAGGTGTGGTATTTGGGGACAAGAAACAGCCTTCCAGAGCTTTTGTTGTTCCCTCTGGTGGAGGTGTCAAGCAGGGGTCAGCAGCAGCACAATGTAAGGGGCAGCTGGAGAGGTTTCGAAGCTTGACATTTGGAGCATGCAATACGCCTTCAAAGCCGCTGGACGCTCCTCCTGCTGGATGTGTCAAGAGAGGCTCGAGCAAAAGGAAGCAGGAGCAAGTTGGGTTGGCAGCAGCACAGAGCGAGAGGAAGCAGCAGCAGGTTGGGTCGGCAGCATCACATAACAAGAGGAATCAGCAGCAGGTTGGGTCGGCAGCATCACATAACAAGAGGAATCAGCAGCAGGTTGGGTCGGCAGCATCACATAACAAGAGGAATCAGCAGCAGGTTGGGTCGGCAGCATCACATAACAAGAGGAATCAGCAGCAGGTTGGGTCGGCAGCATCACATAACAAGAGGAATCAGCAGCAGGTTGGGTCGGCAGCATCACATAACAAGAGGAAGCAGCAGCAGGTTGGGTCGGCAGCATTACATAACAAGAGGAATCAGCAGCAGGTTGGGTCGGCAGCATCACAGTACAAGAGAAAGCAGCTAAAGGTTGGTACAGTAGCATTGCAGGGGAAGAAGCAGCAGGAGCAAGTTGGGGGTGTGAGGGTTGGAGGCAGGATTGATCCTGAAAGAATGACAAGGGCAGCGGCAATAAGGCCTCCTTGGAGGCCATAGGGGTAGGTGTATCGAGATAATAATAGGATACATATGAGTAGAGACTGTATAGTAGTAGCAGTGTACAATAACTTGTGCCCTTTTTTTTAATAATGATTTGTTCTTCAATGTTGGGTTCGGCCAGTAGTGTTCTGGTACAGTACATGCCTTGTTCTATGGCAAGAGTTTTTCACCCACATTCAGCCTTCCCCTTCTAGAACGCACCTAGGCTTGCATTGCAGGAAGATTTCTGTACTATCCAGCAGTGCTCTTGTTCCGTTGCTACTCCTGTGTGAGACTACAATTGGCATTGCACTGTAATGGAGACCTGGAGGTGTCGACTGAATATCAACTCCCTCACAGCGGCCGCAGGCGAGGGAAGTCAACAAGCAGGTCACGCTCTGTGAGTGTGTCCTCGTCATCTTGAGGTGTCCAGAGCACCTCCACCGCCTGGCAAGGGAGAGGGGAAGGAAGAGGGACAAGTGAGTTTGAGGAAGTGGGGGGGGATTGAGGGAAGTCAACAAGCAGGTCGCGCTTCGTGAGCGTGTCCTCGCCATCTTGAGGTGTCCAGGGCACTTCAACAGCCTGAAAGGACAAGAAGTGAGGGTTATAAGAGAGAGGAGCAGGGCACAGGCGAGGGTAGTCAACAAGCAGGTCTCGCTCCGTGAGCGTGTCCTCATCGTCCTGAGGCGTCCAAAGCACCTCCACCGCCTGGATGTGGGAGAGGAGGCGAAGTGAGATTGAGGGAATGGAAGATGATAGGAGAAGTCAACAAGCAGGTCCCTCTCTGTTAGAGTGTCCTCATCGCCCTGTGGAGTCCAGAGCACCTCCACCGCCTGGATGGGGAGGAGAGGGGAGCAAGTGAGAACGAGGGAACAGGAGTAGGAAGGGGAAGTAGTCAACAAGCACGTCGCGCTCCGTAAGCCTGTCCTCATCGTCCTGGGAGTTCCACAGCACCCCAACTGCCTGGATGGGGAGGATGGGATTAAAAGTCAAGAAAAGCGGAGTGGGAGGGGAGAGGAGGAGGTCATAGCTGTCGCACTCTGTGAGCCTGTCCTCATTGCCCTGGGGGTTCCGCAGCGCCTCCACCGCCTGGATGGGGAGGATGGGATTAAAATTCAAGAGAAGCGGAGTGGGAGGGAGGAAGCAGCATAGCGTCGCTTGTGTGAGGGGGCAGGGAGGAGAGGGAAGGAGGGAGGGAGGATGTAGAATTAAGGCCCCATGTTTGAGGGAGAGGGACAGGGGAGTGGAATGAGTCGACGTGTGAGAGGAGAAGTAGGAAATCCAGCCTCATGCTGTGGAAAATGACACATTTAAAGCTCATTAAAGTCCACTACAAGCTTATCTAGAAACACCTGAAGCTAATCAGCACCCCTGGGGCTTATGAAACCCTGAATGCGCCTGGAATTCATGAGAAGTCACGTGGAGCTCATCACATCACACCTGAAGCTCATCAAATCACACCTGAGGCTAGACAGAGCTTCCCTGAAGCCTTCTTCAACACGCCTGGAATTCATGAAAACTCACCTGAAGCTCATCAGCAGGGACAGAACCGAGGCGATTCAAGGCTTCCCTCAGATCACTCGAAGATTTGATTTCCGGCAGCTTGAACGTGCCCTCTGCTGCTGCGAGCACTGTCACCTGCAGGTTTGAGCACACGTGAGGACAAAGGGGACTGGTTAGCACAATTGGTGAAATGTGAATCAGCACACGGAGGAGTGCGATCAGACATCCTGCCAAGATTGGTGTGATGGACAGAGATCATCAAAACGGAGACTGCCCTCTGCTGCAGCACCACATATACACTCCACCCCACATGCAATGTACATCCCACATATCGCAATGGACATTCAACTCAACATACCACAATGTATTCGGAGTTCATGCGGTCCTGGCTGGGCTTGCGCGTGATTCGCCGCCTGATGCCGTCCACATTCACAAGAGTCTCCTCCAGCTTGACACGTGGGGTGAGCTGGAACAACTCTACATACCACAACCACAATCTGCACTCCCTCTCCACATACCACGATGTATTCAGAGTTCATGCGGTCCTGACTGGGCTTGCGCGTGATGCGCCGCCTGATGCCGTCCACATTCACCAGCGTCTCCTCTTTGAACTTGCTCCGCTCCTCCATGCTCATGCGGTTGAAAGCAGCTTCGCCAGCATACGAGTCGTTGTTTATCTCTGACTGTATTGTTGGGATTGGTGAAAAGGGAGAGAGGGGGGGGGGGGAAGAGGGGGGGGTTTGAGGGAAACAAGCGTCTCCTCCTTGAACTTGCTCCTCTCTTCCATGCTCATGAAGTTGAATGCTGCCTCTCCACCATACCAGTCCCTGTTCACCTATGACTGTACGTACGTACGAGAGAAGATGGAGGAAGTGGAGAGGGACGGTAAAAGAAACGAGTGTTTGCTTCCTTGAGCATGAAGGAGCGGAGGGTAAAGCAGAAAAGACATGTGGGAGCAAGGAGCATGTAACACTCAAAAGCACATGGATGGAAACTAATGTGCTGCGTTCCTTTCACTCCCCGTTATTTTCTCAGGTCGCACGTGCCACTTAGTTTCACAGAACTTACGGAGGAAAAGTAGTAAACGCAACAGTCCGAGTTGCTACTAACTAGTTACTAACTACAGCACTCAACTGCCAAAGCATTCAACTAAGGCCACACGTGGTTTCCAGCACTTACGGAGGAGAAGCCGTAGATGCAATAGTCCGGGTTGCTACTTGCGCTAAAGCACTCAAACTCAGGTCACACGTGGTTCCCAGCACTTACAGAGGAGAAGCCATAGATGCACTAGTCCGGGTTGACTACTTACTAGGCGCTAAAGCACTTAAACTCAGGTCACACGTGGTTCCCAGCACTTACGGAGGAAAAGCCATAGATGCAATAGTCCGGGTTGCTACTTACTAGGTCTTAAGCTAAAACGCTCAATTATCAAAGCACCTAACTCAGGTCACACATGGTTTCCGGAACTTACGGAGGAGAAGCCATAGATGCAATAGTCCGGATTGCGCAGCAGCGCGAGCACCGTCTCTGTTTAGTGGGCGAATCCGACGGGTGGCGTGCAGAAACACAAGTGGAAGAGACGAAGGAAGGGAATGAGGAGGAGAGGGAAAGCGAGTGAGCGGCAGGAAAGAGAAACAGTAAAACGAGAAACAGTAAAACATTAGAGATAAATAGATACTGTACTTTGCAGGAAGTAATGAACTCCGTGAGCTCGCATCTACAGCGAAATCGTCTAGCCGTCTAGCCGTCTCTCCCTCCAACCGTCTAGCCGTTAAAAAAATAATTAAATAAAAAAATCCGAAGTAACGGAATACATAACTGTACCTTGCAGGATGTAATGAAGGCCCTCGGGTGAGCTCGCATCCGCGCGATCCGCGATACGATCCAGATCCCGTTGCAGGCGCCTCGCCGAGCCTAGCAATCCAACCTGCAGCCTCACCACGCTGCTGCGCTGCGTCTCCTGCCACACTCCCTCCTCCTGCGCGGAGCTTAGAAACCCCATAACTGACTGCGACACGAACCAGATCACGATCCCGATAACGAGGAGATTAAAGATCCCTCCGCCGCCGCCGCCGCCGTAGGCGATGGAAGGGCCGAAGAAGAAGAACGGGGAGGGCGCGAAGAACGGGACGGACGGGCCGACGATCACGGGGGGCGCATTGTAGGAGTATCCGCCGCCGCGGGGCGCGGAGGGGGGTGGGGCGTAGGAGCGCATGCGGGAGGCGCCGAAGCCGCTTCCTCCGATTCTTCCGCCGCCCATCGCGGCGAGTGCGGCGTCCGGAGCGCCGGCGGCGAGGACGGCGGAGATTAGGAGCGCGGCGAGCGCAGGCTTGACCGCGGCTTTAAGAGCGTCGAGGAGAGAAGGCCTCGCTTCGGTTAACGACGACGGAATGCTTGGAAGTTGCTGCGAAGCTGGGAGTGACTCGTCTTGAGGAGTGGAAGAGGGAGGAGCCTGGGCATTTACAACGACGCTGCACCTTTGACGGGAACAGGGCTGCGCGGGTGTGATTCTAGAGGAGGTAAGCTTGCGTGGCAGCGGTACTAGGTTTGAGGCGAGAGAGGCGCAGCGCGGCTTGCTGGAACCAAGCCGAGGCGCGGCGAGCAGGCCACTCGAGGTCGACGTGCTACCTTGAAGTGCGACGGCAGACGCCATGGCCGAAGGTTGAAATGCGCGGGACTGGTGTTAGTAGCACGACAAGCTCCAGCACTGAGGACGTCTAAGTAATAAAGATGAATCTGAAGCCTGAAGCAACCTCGGGAATGCCGTGAGAAGTAGATTGGAGCTTGATGAATATTTCAACAGTGTCTGCTTGATGTTGGATTTTAGAGATTTGCCTGCTCAAAAGCGACAAGGATAGTACGACGTATTCTTTCTGTATGAGTCGCTCCGGTGTAGGATGAAAATGTTATTTTCTATCTGCTACCTTATATGGATGATGTGCTACTGTAGTTCGTGAGTTTCTGCGAGCTTGTTTCAGATACATGATGATTCTCGAACACTCCCTGACAGCTTATTTCCTTTCTGGCAAAGCGCGTGAAGCATCCGCATGACGTGGTAATCTTGAACATTTCGGGGATTGCTGCGATTCCGTCCACATGTCTCTGTGCAAGGGGCTCGTGTGAGTGCATCATCCACGTGGTTGATGACGCGACTCCCTAGAGCTTGTGCCACGTCAATGACGTCTCGTGGAAGCAATCCCGATGCCGTGCGCCTGGGGACGAATATCAAACTGACACCGATTTTTCAACACCTGTCCTCCATAAGGGACCACTTATCAATCCTCGATAGCAGCAACTGTCCGTAATTGCACCATCTTGAGCAGTAGCTTACACCATTTGTGGGGCAGCGCACCCCTTGAACTATCCGCATATTATTGCAGCACATGGAAGTGCAAACCTTTTTCAGCAAATATTCATTCATATGGAATCCGCCTAACCTCTTCTACAAGTTCCACCCCAAATTCCTCTCTCACCCTCCTCTTCACCTCCACAATCAGCCCTTCCATATCCTCACTACTGCACGCCCCACCATTAACAAGAAAATTAGCATGCATTGGCGACACAAAGGCATCTCCAACACGCAGACCCTTCAGCCCAGCCCGGTCTATCAGAGCACCTGCAGAGGCTGGGAGAGCAACTGCTGCCGCACCAGCTGCTACTAAACCGGCTGGTGGTGAGGAAGCTGCGGGGGGAGCAGAGCTAAAGAGAGGAGCAGAAGCAGAGGGGGGTGCAGGGTTGCGGAAGATGCAACCAACCGATCGATCTGCAATAGGCTGGGATTGCCGCCGCCTGGCAAAGAATAAGACGGTATGGTGCGGAATACGGTAGGGAGGGATGCGGCAGGGTAGGGAGGTAAGGCAGGTGAGTGATCAGAGGGCAGAGGAGGAGCAGGGTAGTTACTCTGTCTGTCCGGCAAGCTGACAAATCAAAATCCACCCACCTGGATAATCACGGTACAGAAAGAGTGGTTGGCAGAGACAAATCGGCTTGCCTTTTTGAAGAATATTTCTCCATTGCTTGTCCGATAACCGAGCTGCCTTAAAAACAAAACAGTCCTTCCTCCAACAGGAAGTTCCAATTTCGACTCCAAAAGTCATTTCCGGAAAATAGCATTTGGCGCATAACCTCACGTGCTCGTGCGTTGTTGCCTCCTGGCCCGCTCCTCTTCAATGCCCCACCTCTAGAAGTCCTTAACCTCAATGCCCCTCACCTGTCCATGTATCGTCTCTGCCTGTCCCGTGCCTCACTGCTACTCCGCAGACCGAAAGTTGCTCCCACTATGGCAGCACAGTCGGGCATGTGCTGGAAGGGCGAGTGGCGGTACGAGAAGGTGAGGCCAGAGCGAGAGAAGGAAAGTAGAGTGCCGGTGGGAGAGAGGACGTCCACCGAGAGTAAACAGTCGGCTGTTTCCTGAGGGAGAGGAAGAGGGAGCGAGGGAGGGAGGGAGGAAAAGGCTTGTGCTGGAAGAGCGAGTGGCGGTAGGCAAATGTCAGGTCGGAGCGAGGGAAGGAGAGGAGAGTGCCAGTCGGAGAGAGGACGTCCACAGAGAGCAGACAGTCTGCTGTTTCCTGAAGGAGGAAATGGAGGGAAGGAGGAAATGGAGGGCGGGAGGGAGGGGGGAAAGGGGTGAGGGAGGGCTTGCACTGGAAGGGCGAGTGGCGGTAGGTGAACGTGAGGTGGGCGCGACGGAAAGAGAGGAGGGTGCCTGTTGGAGAGAGCATGTCCACAGAGAGCAGACAGCCAACTGTTTCCTGAGGGAGCGATAGGCGGGGGGGGGAAGAAGGGTCTATATTTGAGTCACCTCACTCCTCTGTATTCCCTGACCTATGCTGTTCTCACCTATTCTCCCACTCCCACACACTATGGTTCCTCACCTGCCCGTCTGTCCCCGCGTTCATGAAGACAGCGCCCCCAACGGTGCCGGGAACGCCACGTCCCTCACTCCTCTGTATTCCCTGACCCGTGCTGTTCTCACCTATTCTCCCACCCACTATGGTTTCTCACCTGCCCGTCCGCCCCAACGTTCATAAAGACAGCGCCCCCCACGGTGCTGGGAATGCCTCATCCCCCTCATCCCCCTGAATTCCCCTTATCCCTATTGCCTCTCACCTGCCCATCCGCCCCAGCGTTCATGAAGACAGCGCCCCCCACGGTGCCGGGAATGCCGCCTGCAAACTCCAGCCCTGAGAGGCCATCTCGCGAGCACTCCACTCCCAGCAGGTTGAACGGGTACCCTCCCCCCACCTGCACTTGAGCGTCGCAGGGAAAATTCTCAGTACCCTCGCTACTGCCATTGCTGCTGCTGCTGCTGCTGCTGCTGCTGCCACTGCTGCTGCTACGGCTGTCGTTGCTGTTACTGCTGTCGCTCTGGTTGGGGCTGCAATCTCTGTGCATATGTGCAGCCACAGCAGCAGCAGCAGCAGCAGCAGTAGCAGTATCTGTGTACTCCACGCGCTTGTACGCGATTCTGTTGACGATCACACACCCCTTGAACCCGCGGTCCTCAAACAGACAGTTGGAGCCCTTGCCTACCACCACCACGCGGATGCTGTTGCTGTGGCAGAACCTGGGCTTGATGGGTTGAGGGGAGGAGGCACAGGAATAGAGTGTACGAGTGTGTGGGGAAACCCTGTCTGACAAGCAGGCAGTTGGAGCGTTTGCCTATCACCACCGCGTGGATGCTGTTGCTGTGGCAGAACCTGCAAAACCCAGAGGAAAAGGGTGCAGGAAGTGATTCATCAAGTCCTGACTGCTAACAAGCAGGCAGTTGGAACCCTTGCCTATCACCACCGCGCGGATGGCATTGCTGTGGCAGAACCTGGAACGCACAGGACAGGGGTGCAGGAATGTGTTGGGATAACCCAGTCCGAAAAACAGGCAGCTGGCGCCCTTGCCCATCACCACCGCGCGGATGGCATTTCTGCGGCAGAAACCGAGCCCAGTGAAGGGAGATGCACAGGAAACGGAGGCAGGGAAGAGTAGGAGAAACCATGAGAGACCGACTGGAAGTTGGAGCTAACACCTATCATCACTGTGTGATTAGCATTGCTTGGCCAGAACCTGAGTCCACAGGGAAGGGGTGCAGGAAAGAATACGGGGCATTCTGACTGTCAACAAACATGCAGTTGGAATCCCTGATCAAGAGCGTTCTCCCACCAGCACTTACTTAAGCGCCGCCATCTCATCAACCGTCGTCACCTCCGCCAGCCAATCTGCTCGTGACAATGCTCAACAGTGATACCAGCACTTACCTAACCACTGCCGCCATTTCCTCAACTGTCGTCACCTCCGCCAGCCAATCCGCAGGCCCGCCGATTCCCCACGTCCTCCCCACTTCCTGTCACTGACCTGTTCAAGTCAAGCAACCACCCTGATTGAAAGTCGAGCGCCTTACCACAAGCACTTACCTAAGCACCGCCGCCATCTCATCAACTGTCGTCACCTCCGCCAGCCACTCAGCAGGACCGCCGATTCCCCACGTCCCCACTTCCGCCAATTGCCTTCCCCCCTCCAGCACAACACTCCGCCCTTCCCCAAACTCCACCGTCAAAGCGTCCCCCCTTGCGCTCATGACTCTTCCCCTGGTCACCCTTCCGCCAGTCGCCCGTCCGCCAATGCGACCTGTCCTTGCGCCAACGGGCTTCCACCTTCCGCCTGTCCCCCCGTTCTCGGAGGCGCCATCGCTGCCATCGCGCAGGTGCGCGGAAACGCGGCTTTTGTTTCCACCAATCAGGATGGTTTGAGAGGCGTTTCTGAAGGTACTAAACCGAGAACCATTTCTTAAGTGACCTGGGAACAAGGGACTCCCTAGCAAGCTCTTTGGTAAGGGCACGACGCTTCCAAGCTGCTTCATCTGCGGCCTTTCCTAACAATCGCCTTACGGAACGAGCAGCTTATTCTATGTCTAGATACTGTCTGAATCCTCGTGGAAGCTTCCTCTTTGTTCTTTTTCTGAAACGATGATAGCCTGGTGCGTCGAAACGGAAGAAATGTGAAAAAAAAATAAGTTTTTTGTACTATACAATAAAACGTGGCTTTAAGACATTTCAGACGTCTCAGAACTTCCCTGAAGTCCACTGGGTTGTCAACGAGCGACCAAGACTTCTGTTAGAATCAAACCGAGACGATTCTTTGCCCAGCTTCCAGATGCTCCTGCTCAGCTAACCTTGGGAATTGACCAATATAAAATCTAGATACAGTGGCTGTTTCTCTTCGGCCTCTACTATTTTCTCCTAAACCTGCCGATGTGTGGAGTCAGAACTCATAACTGACGCCATGATTGAAGCAATTTCAAACGGTCGTTTCAATTTCCCGCCAGAATTCCAGTGTGTCAGGGAGGGTCTCGTCGGACGCGACAAGAATTGTTTTACCCGTTTTGTTATAAGAGCTGTTTTCCGTGGTCAGCATATGTCATGATTCATTCTCATTCCCTCCAGAAGTGACATGATGTATGATCACTAAACAATGGCAACCAAATCACCCACCTCAAGATTGACATTGTTTTATCTAGGTAAGACATCAGAAGCGCATTAGTGCACCTAATTTTCAAAATCAGGTAGGATTCAGCATTCGCGGCAACAATTTGTAATGAAACACTTATACCGTACCACTTTTCTAATCCAAAAGGGAGCGGCCTCCTGACGAGCTAGTAGGCCTTGGGGCCAAACCAGCACCAGTGAGAAACCCAAACTGCAGCGCTTGCACCTGCACCAGCAGCACCGCTCCTGCTCCAAACGCAAGCAGGTGCATCCCACACAGTTTAAACGCCAACGCTGAGTAAACCGGCAATCCCAAGACGATAAGAGCCACCACCAAGTACTGTAGAAGCCAGAAAATCGCAGCTGTGGCACCAACCAGGGCTTTAACTAGCGACAGTCCCGAAAAGGTGCCGAAGGTAAAGAGCAACCAGCCGAGAAACGGGTGTACTGTGGTGGGCACGAGCCAGAAGGAGACAAATGCGGAGAGAACCGTGAGGGCGAGTGTGAGGAGGAAACGGGGGGAGAGGTAGGAGAGGAGACCTGATACTCCCTCAGCAGCAGCAGCAGCTGCTGCAGCTGCTCCTGCTCCTGTCGTTGCTCCCCCTCCACCTACACCCCCATTCGATCCCCCTCCTGGCGTTCCCAACCCTGTCCCCAGCGCTCCTAGGCGGGAATAAGGAGAATTGGACCCTACTCCCCCTCCTCCTCCCGCTCCTCCCCCTCCCGCTGCGCTCCCCCCAATCCCTGAGACAACAGGGGCGGCGCCGACGTGTCTGTATCCGCGGGTGAGGCGGTAGAGGATCGAGGATGGGTCGGCTGCCGCCCGGGCGATGACGTGGCTGAGTGCGAGCACTACGAGCCAAAAGACGCCGGCCGAGAGGCAGGCGGGGAGGTGGGAGGAGTAGCCAATGGTGGAGAGGCGCCAGGAGTGCCATTGGAGGGAGAGGGCGAGGAGCGGGTAGGACCACCAGAACCAGGGCTTTAAGTGCGCGATCCCGGGGAAGGTGATTATCTTGTTGTCGCTGCAAGGCACCTCCCACTTGAACTTGAGATCTGCAGGTGAGGAACGGGGGGCGAGGGGAGAGGGGAGAGGGGAGAGGGGAGAGGGGGAGGTGATGGGAGAGCGGAGAGGGGGGAGGGGAGAGAGGGGTACGGGAGAGAGATGGCTTGTGGGATAGAGGGATAAAAAGGGGAAGGTGGGAGGAGTAGCCGATGGTGGCGAGGCGCCAGGACTGCCAGTGCAGGGAGAGGGCGAGGAGCGGGTAGGACCACCAGAACCAGGGCTTTAAGTGCGCGATCCCGGGGAAGGTGATTATCTTGTTGTCGCTGCAAGGCACCTCCCACTTGAACTTGAGATCTGGAGTGAAAGAGAGTGGGGAAGAAGGGGTGAAGCAGAGGTTAAAAAGGTGGGTAGTGGGGAAAAGGGTTGAGAGGAGGAGGAGTGTTCATGAAGGGAGAGAGGGAGGAAGCAGTAGGATCAACAGAGGAAAGTAACTCACAGCAGCGCAGTCAGAACTGCCCTTCCAAGTAGCATGCACTGCAACAGATGGCGTCCATCTGGTCCATCTGGTACCCCATGGGCAGCCGGAACTGCCCTTCAAATGCCAACCAGTTGGATTGACCATTTGTGACTAAAACAAGATGTACTAGTGCTAGAAGCACACTTGCAAGACTCAGTGTAGCACGTTACACTGGTGACACTCACTGTAATTGATGGCGTCCATCTGGTACCCCATGGGCAGCCGGAGCTGTCCTTTGAGGGTAGTGCCCTTCTCCATGCCCCATGTGACTATAACGGCAACTAGTAACACTCACTGTAGAAGATAGCGTCCATCTGGTACCCCATGGGCAATCTGAACTGCCCTTTGAGCGCCGAGACGTCATCAGGCGGCACGAAGAGAGGGGAGGCGAGCAGCGTGGGGAAGTAGCGGTTGAGGAAGCCCTGGTCTGCTGCATCGTGTGACGGGAGCGAGCGCAGCTGCTGCATCATGTCCTTAAACACCTTCACTGACGGCTGGGGGGAGGGAGGGGGGGGGTGTTAGGAGGGAGGGGAGGGAAGGGTAGGAAAGAAGGGCGTGTGACGGGAGAGAGTGCAGCTGCTGCATCATATCCTTAAACACCTTCACTGACGGCTGTGGGGGGAGAACGGAGGGAAGGGAGGAAAGGGTAGGAAAAAAGAAGGGCGTATGAGTGTGACGGGAGAGAACGCAGCTGCTGCATCATATCCTTGAACACCTTCACTGACGGCTGGAAAGAAGGGCGTGTGAGGGAAGAGAGCTCAGCTGCTGTATCATATCCTTAAACACCTTCACTGATGGCTGGGGGAGGGAGTCAGTGAGGGGGGGAAGAGGAACGGCGCATCCACATTCGTGAGCACCAGGTCATCTTGATAAACCGGACCCTTTATAAGGTGACTCGCCTTGAGTACAACCAGGCCGGTGTGGAAGATGCATGGGTCTATGAAGACAGGACAGCGACTTTTGAGTCGACTCAAAAGTCATATGAAGACAGGACAGCGACTTTTGAGTCGACTCAAAAGTCATATGAAGACAGGACAGCGATTTTTGAGTCGACTCAAAAGTCATATGAAGACAGGACAGCGACTTTTGAGTCGACTCAAAAGTCATATGAAGACAGGACAGCGACTTTTGAGTCGACTCAAAAGTCATATGAAGAAAGGACAGCGACTTTTGAGTCGACTCAAAAGTCATATGAAGACAGGACAGCGACTTTTGAGTCGACTCAAAAGTCATATGAAGACAGGACAGCGACTTTTGAGTCGACTCAAAAGTCATATGAAGACAGGACAGCGACTTTTGAGTCGACTCAAAAGTCATATGAAGACAGGACAGCGACTTTTGAGTCGACTCAAAAGTCATATGAAGACAGGACAGCGACTTTTGAGTCGACTCAAAAGTCATATGAAGACAGGACAGCGACTTTTGAGTCGACTCAAAAGTCATATGAAGACAGGACAGCGACTTTTGAGTCGACTCAAAAGTCATATGAAGACAGGACAGCGACTTTTGAGTCGACTCAAAAGTCATATGAAGACAGGACAGCGACTTTTGAGTCGACTCAAAAGTCATATGAAGAAAGGACAGCGACTTTTGAGTCGACTCAAAAGTCATATGAAGACAGGACAGCGACTTTTGAGTCGACTCAAAAGTCATATGAAGACAGGACAGCGACTTTTGAGTCGACTCAAAAGTCATATGAAGACAGGACAGCGACTTTTGAGTCGACTCAAAAGTCATATGAAGACAGGACAGCGACTTTTGAGTCGACTCAAAAGTCATATGAAGACAGGACAGCGACTTTTGAGTCGACTCAAAAGTCATATGAAGACAGGACAGCGACTTTTGAGTCGACTCAAAAGTCATATGAAGACAGGACAGCGACTTTTGAGTCGACTCAAAAGTCATATGAAGACAGGACAGCGACTTTTGAGTCGACTCAAAAGTCATATGAAGACAGGACAGCGACTTTTGAGTCGACTCAAAAGTCATATGAAGACAGGACAGCGACTTTTGAGTCGACTCAAAAGTCATATGAAGACAGGACAGCGACTTTTGAGTCGACTCAAAAGTCATATGAAGACAGGACAGCGACTTTTGAGTCGACTCAAAAGTCATATGAAGACAGGACAGCGACTTTTGAGTCGACTCAAAAGTCATATGAAGACAGGACAGCGACTTTTGAGTCGACTCAAAAGTCATATGAAGACAGGACAGCGACTTTTGAGTCGACTCAAAAGTCATACGAAGACAGGACAGCGACTTTTGAGTCGACTCAAAAGTCATAGGAAGACAGGACAGCGACTTTTGAGTCGACTCAAAAGTCATATGAAGACAGGACAGCGACTTTTGAGTCGACTCAAAAGTCATACGAAGACAGGACAGCGACTTTTGAGTCGACTCAAAAGTCATACGAAGACAGGACAGCGACTTTTGAGTCGACTCAAAAGTCATATGAAGACAGGACAGCGACTTTTGAGTCGACTCAAAAGTCATACGAAGACAGGACAGCGACTTTTGAGTCGATTCAAAAGTCATACGAAGACAGGACAGCGACTTTTGAGTCGACTCAAAAG